TCAAACCTTAAACGTTTAAATAAATGTTTTGTAGTAAATGTTAGCGTTCTGATACACATTTTAAAATAAATTAACGTTAAATATTTAACAAACTTTTATTTCTACGTCCGTGCTAAAAGGTTAGGATTGCCCTTCACGGTTCGTCGGAAGGTCATCTCAGGCTCAAAAGAAACGGTATATACCATTCGAAAGCCGACGGTGAGCTGAATCCAAAAATGTAATTTTTATCAAAATCGATCGATGGCCTTTTTTGAAAATTGCGTTTTTGTCAAAACTTAATAATCTTTTATTTAACGGGCTGTCCCGGACATTCTTGAAAACATAAACAGGTATTTTTTAGTTCCAGTGAAAGCTAAACGCCAAAAGAACAATATTTAGCGAAACAATATTTCCAAACATTAATATGCGTCTCCCACAGCCGACAATAAGGCGCAATCACACAGCTCAGTGTCACGATAGACCAAAGTCAGCCACACAGAAGCGTGAATTGACCCTTATCGACTCGCAGACCCGGCGCTCTCGGCGCGCCTGACCGGTCACGGAAAGAACGTTCGGCTCCCGTTCTACTAAACAAATGTCATATTTGTCACTTTAACTGTCCACATCGCTATTAAAATTATTCAGGATACCTGTGAAGAAAATTCATTGTTCTGCTTGATTTACAACATGCTTTAATTTACATTTTTCTTATACATGTTTTGTTCCATCCAGCTGCGATCAGTGCCCGCGCAGGGGAAGTGAGCGGGGTTTCACTGTCAGAGGCTGTACTGGTGACAGCTGCTCGGCCGTGCGACCGGTCAAAGGTTACCCTACCCCGCCGGGCGCTACCCCCACTCCACCCGAGCTGAGGCCGGTGCAACCTCTGACATTTCAGCGCGGCCAATTTTCCTTATATGGGCATGATACCAAGCTCAACTGAGCAAAGTAGACATGAACAAATGCAAATTAATGCATGATGTGAAGATGACAGAACAATGAATTTTCTTCACAGGTATCCTGAATAACTTTAATGGCGATGTGGACAGTTAAACTGACAAATATGACATTTGTTTAGTAGAACGAGAGCCGAACGTCCTTTCCGTGGCCGGTCAGGCGGGCCCAGAGCGCCCGGTCTGCGAGTCGATAAGGGTCATTTCACGCTTCTGTGTGGCTGACTTTGGTCCATCGTGACACTTGAGCTGTGTGATTGCGCCTTTTTGTCGGCTGTGGGAGACGCATATTAATGATTGGAAATATTGCTTCGCTAAATATTGTTCTTTTGGCGTTCAGCTTTCACTGGAACTCAAAAATACATGTTTATGTTTTCAAGAATGTCCGGGACAGCCCGTTGAATAAAAGATTATTAAGTTTTTACAAAAACGCAATTTTCAAAAAAGGCCATCGATCGATTTTGATAAAAATTACATTTTTGGATTCAGCTCACCGTCAGCTTTCGAATGGTATATATCGTTTCTTTTGAGCCTGAGATGACCTTCCGACGAACCGTGCCTTATCCTGCGCTGTAATTTCATAAAACAATTTGCTTCTTTGGTCGACGAGGAACGCCGCAAAGACGCGAGTAGTTCGTCTATACTTATTATAGGTCAATGAGGCAACGTGTGCCAAAAAAATTATCGACGCTCCGCGCCCAAATTCTTAACTCCTAAATTCAATTTTCTTCAAGTATAGGTAATCGTTAAATCCGAGCACGGATTAACGGGCGAGCAAATGCAGGAAGCGAGTGAATTTGTTGCTTTAAAACAGAAGAGCAGCCCGACCCGCCCCTGCTTCGTCTTTTAGCAGCAACATTCTCCAGCCACTGCTAGACCGATCAATAGGCGGTCAGCTCACGGGTGGCGGAACACCTTCAATTAACCCGCGCCCTGCTGAGGGGAGGGGGGTGTTTGAACACCCCCCCCCGTGGTTTTTCGCGAATATCTCAAAAACGGCGGCGCCGAGCAACGCCGTTTTTGGTACACCTTATCATATATCAATTCTACACATGTTGTGAAAATTTCAGACCAAGGTCATTCAAGGTCAGGTCACCAGGTCACTTGAAGTGACCTCACCTCATAAAAACTTTCAATGTCTGCCATAGCTACACCGAGTGACCGATTGCTTTGAAACTTCCAGCGATTGCTAAGAGCAATAACATGTACAAAACGTTTATCTCAGAATTTTGATATCGATGACCTAAGGTCAGGTCAATTTTGAGACCTCCCCATTATAAGTCAATGGGAGAAAATTAAAAAGCGCCTCTTTTGGACGAAAGACATTATAACCACTTCAAAACACTGAATTACAAGTAATTTAGACACACTGAACATGAAAATGGTGTCCGTGACCCCTGTTTATGCCCCTGAGGTCATCTCAGGTCACGAATGGTATCTAACAGTTTTTCGCAAATAACTTTTGATAGAGGCATGCTAGAGCGATGAAAACGCCTTAGATGTGTTCAGCTCGACGATACGGATCGACTGATACGTAACATGACCCTTTCAGGTCAGGTCATGACCTTGACCTGAGGTCAAATTTTCAATTTGACCTTTCAAGGTCAAGTTATAGTTCATTCGATGCGTCCTGACGAGAGGAGCACGATGCCGGTAAAAGTAAGCTCGTACAAGGCTTGCGTCAAAAGTCATTGCAGAAAAACAGTTTCCGAAAAAATCGGTTAATTTTGCAGGTTTTGCCCCCTGCAGGCAAAACCGTTGACGTTAGGTGAAATCTGAGAGAATTACTCAGAAAGGGCGTTAAAAGGGCTATCGAATGCCCTTTTCCGCAGCGCTGTAGCTCTATTGGTTCCCGAGTTATGCGTTGGCTTCTTGGAAATTGTCGACATTCGACCTGGAAATCGGCGAAATTTTGCCTTCAATGACCTCTGGTGACCTGACCTTTGACCTGACCAAAAAGTGACCGAAGTGATTTCGTCATTATTTTTGACGCTCTTTCGAACGCCGCCTTCCACGTATCGCTACGTGGCCCGAGTTAGAAGGGGGGTTCAAACACACCCCTCCCCCCCCCCAGCAAGGCGTGGAAATCCAGGACCCCCAGCCGGGCGCGGGTTAAGGGGGGGGCACTGCCTGCCGACTTTTGGTCCCATTCTTTCCATGCAACGCCCATAGGGCCAATGTTAAAATGCCAAAATCAAGGGGGGGCTCGGTGCCCCCACCCCCGTTCCGCCGCCTATGGGTCAGCTGCATTAAATATCCAGCCTTTCAAACGTGAATTTAACTACTGTTGGTGAGTACAGGTAACCGTCACGGCATGTGCCATGCACCATATTAGAGGTGTAAAATGGTCCCTAACAGGAACTCCTAAATGACGGGCCCGATGGCACTGAAACTTCGTGTTTTATGACTAAACAGGAAGATGCCAACGAAGAAATGTTCATCATCAGTATCGATCTCAAATTTGGTATGTGGATAGAAGGCGATAGGGACTATCACATATATTCCGGTTTTTCGAAATTCAAAAAACTTGGATTTTTCGGCTATTATATTCCAAAAATTTAATTTGTGATTTTTAGGGGTCAAAATCCAAGAATTTCACAAATCCGAGATAGCAGTTTTGTAGCCCTTTTGCTTCTACACCTTTTATGTCTTACACATTTTTCTGTATCTCTAAAGCTGTAGGCCTGACAGCTCTTCCCGCGAAACTTTTTTTTGGGTCGAAAATGGCAGAAATGACGTCACTCCGATGTCATTAGCGGCAAACCTATTATAGCCTTTGGAAAAAATGGTCACAATGTGTAAAAGCTATTCACGGGAGGGTACTGAAAGTTTGGTGACGATCGGCGCAGCGGTTCTGGAGATATATTGAAAAAAAACTAGGGGGGGGCAAAAAATACCCCCCCCCCCGCCTGGAAGGTTAATATTTGATAATATTTTTGGGTACATATTGTTCTTTAGGCGCTCAACTTTCACTAGGACACGAAAAAAACATGCCCATGATTTCCAGAATGCCCGAGACTTGAATAAAAATTATCGTTTTTACAAAAACGCAATTTTTGAAAAAGGCCATCGAACGATTTCGATAAAAACTACATTTTTGAAATCAGCTCACCGTCAGCTTTCGAATGTTGTATTTCGTTTCTTTTGTGCATGAAATGACCTTCCGACGGACTGTGACCTGGCTGTATTACTTTGACGGACACCAGCATCATTGAACGGGTGGTATGTCAATGCCCAGTTATGATCACTTCTTTAGTGGGAAATGACCAGCCTAAACATTCAAGACAAGACAATATTAAATCGGTTACTGTTGTAACGACTCGCTAGTCATGGATGTTCTCAAAAACTCGAGAAAGTTTCGAATCGAAACCATATCAAAGGTTCAACTTATTTTTAGTCTTATGGTGTGTCCAGGAAACCACTTTTACTTCAAAAAGAACTCTCTATTCCCTATAGTATTGCTCAAAGTTTTTGCTTCAGGTTCTCAGAGAGTAGATCAGGGCGATGTTTCAAGGCAAAGCGGTGCAGCGCTGCACGCAGCGGTGCATTGGGTTTGGAAACATCAACGAACTAGGACGCTCGCAACGCTGAAGGGTCGAGCCGAATTCGTCTCAAATGCTGCACCGATGCAGTAGCGCGCTTCAGCGCACTGCAGCGTCGGGCCGTGAAACACCGCCCAGATTAATCAAAGTGAGCTTAAGTTTCTCAGTGCTTGTGCTCCGTTTTTTTTTTTTTAGCTTTGTATTCTGATGAAGAGCTGTGCTCGAAATTATTAATAAACAAGTGTTTTGATCTAACTTTTTCAAACTACGAGGGTAAGGTCATTAATCATTAATCAAAGTGAGCTTAACCGAAACTGACATTCAACATGACAAAACTTATACTTATCAGTTATTTTCTGAAAGTTACTAAGTAAACCTGGTTAAAAACTGGACATTGTGGTGTTTTCCTTTTTTATAAAACACAAGCGTGGATGAAAACGTTTGCATGAATGAATACATCCGCACATTTCGAAGAGCATACTCACAAATGCATGCATGCTATGGGGTAAAGCAGTATGGGGTGACCCACCTTCATTGGTCTGGGCGTTGGTGACGATCAGGTCAAAGTCGGTGCCGCGGCCGAGCTTCTTCTGCTCCATGATGGCATGTTTGAGGTCTCCCACGGAGATGTGCACGCCGTCAAAGACGACCGTGCTGATGTCCGTGGACGAGGCGAACTTGTAGAACACAGACATGACGGCGCCCGCCGAGGCACCGCCGCACCTGCAACGCACAAATTATCAGCTCGTTATACCACAACATAAAGCATTTACTTTCGCTGGATAGCTCTGCTTACCATCTGATAATTCCACTTGAACCCTAAACCCTAAGTGACGCCACCCAATGAAGGATTTAGAAATGTAGGCAAGCCTACACAGTTACACACTACACAACCGGACACGGTCCATTCTCCACAACTGTCTTTACTCTTCACCAAACAACATTCCACAGATCTGTTTGGCTGAGGCTGCTCCACCCGCCGCAAACCATCCTCGTCTGGAGTATAACTGTATGTCAATTCCGGACTCTCACCACCAAGAGTACGATGTTTTATCAACAGAGCTAATAAACGAGAGTGGGTGTGCTGCAGACTATCGTTTTAATGATGGTTAACTAAGTAACCAACCTTCTGTGTCGGTTGACGAGTGACATGTATGCACTGCGTGCATATTTGACGTGATATTCGTGCTCTCTCCTAGGAACTAGCCAGCGTTGAACCTTCATTGATCGCTCTTCCCTGCTCAGCGCTAACGGTCACCCCACCCAGACAACCGCACTAATAAAGTTGCACTGTGTGGTAAAGTAATATGACTCGTCTTTAGGCAGACTGCGCCATCAGGCAAGGGCGATTTTCTGATTTTGCCGACAACAGCCGCGGGCCTGATAACAAACGTTCGTAATCGCCTACAGCGCTGAGCTGTTACCGACTTTTTCTGGCTGTTTGTCCCTGAACAACTCCTCTGGTTGTATTTTGCACTTATTGTGATGGCCTCCCTGAACAACTCCTCTTGATATATTTTGCACTTATTGTGATTAAAAGTTCAGAGGCCCTTTGAGCCCCGAAAGCTCAGCAGTAATCTGCTATTGGTTTGTTCTTCCCACCTGAGCTGGCAGCCCGACCATTTTACGGACATGCTGAGCAAAACCAATCAGAGGAGGTTTGGTCAATCGTTGTCATTTTCAGCACGTGCTATTTTTGTCACACGTGCCAAAAATGGCAACGATTCTGCTATTTTTGACAACGATGAAGCCGATTTCACTCCTCAACGAGAAAATCACGATTTTGGAAAGATAAGCACTGATTTCCGAAAAGAAGTGCTGCCACCTGGTGCAAGAAGAATAAACCAGCTTTAATACGCCCGTTGTTTGTATGGTGGTTTGTTTTGTGGCCTGAAGTTAAAACTTAAAATTGAAGCATCCGAAAATGATCGGTATTGATCGATAACATGATGTTGATGAAAAAAATAATATGTTAAGCTGAGAGAGGAGGTCATTTTATCCAGATGCGGTGGTTTACTTCTTGAAATTATTTTTGCTAATTGACGGCCGTGCATCATCCGTCATTACATGGCGGTCGTCATAAACAAAAATAATTTCAAGAAGTAAACCACCACCACATCTGGATGAAATCGCCTCCTCTTTCAACTCAACATATTCTTGTTTTCATCAAAATTATGTGTTCGATCAATATTGATCATTTTCGGATGGTGCAAATTGAAGTTCCAACTTCAGGCCACAAAAAAGGGGGATACGTCAACGTTGGACTACCATACAAACAACGGCCATATTAAAGCTGGTTTATTCTTCTTGCACCAGGTGCCAGCACTTCTTTTCCAAAATCAGTGCTTGTATTTCCAAAATCGTGATTTCCTCGCTGAGGAGTGAAATCGGCTTCATCGTTGCCAAAAAATAGCTGATAGCGTTGTCATTTTTGGCACATGGTTGCCAAAAATGGCATGTGCTAAAAATGACAACGATTGACCAAACCTCCCCCGACTGAAACCGACCAAATCACGGAGCCACCCGTGACAAAACTCAAGAGTTACAGTGAGATCACAAGAGCACTCGCTATCGCTATCAGTTCTTTGGAACTGCCGGTTTCCTCCGTTACTCAGTGCGTGGAAATACATACAATACAAAACAGAGGGTCAGCGAGGCACAGAGTCCGCTTGCAGCCACGAAAACCCAACTACCCTGACAGTGTCACATCCGGTAGCCAGATAAGTCGGAAAGAGGCCATCGCCAAAGCAAGAACCGCACGAGATCCGGACTGTACTCGAGACAAGTACCCTACTCCCGTCACTTGGTGACTTGCAAAGTGATAACCAATCTACGTCAGCCTGCGAAAAGGGAATATACAACTTTCCCTAAAATAGATTTTTGCTGCTGTTTCATGATATTTCATGCTCAAAATGATCAGAAAATAAAATAATTACCTAACATTTACAAAAGAACCTCTTTTTAATATAAAACATTAAAAGCCGCGGAAGTTTATTACGCGTTGACCAATCATATTGCGTAGTTCAAATCTACGCATGCTGCATTGGCTGCAAGCAGCATACTGATTGGCTGACAATGACGTGGCTGCATTTTTCTACCAGGCACACATTCCTCTACAAGGCACTCTTTCCGAAACGAGAAATGGAATATCCTTGCCTAGGGTGATCGTTGGGCCGTAAAAGCTTCTGATTTGTGCTAGTCTCAGCTCAAGCTACAAAAATGTTATTCCAGTTCAAAACCCCCATGTTAAAAGTGATTACGAGCGAGCGAGCGCAGCGAGCGAAGCGAAGTCTTTTCAATATAACGGAAAAATCTCAGTATGAGCGGCCCGGCCTGTAACGCTTTTGAGAGACTTATATCTCAGCAACCGCTGGACCGATTGGCCTGCGGTCTTTTTTGCTAGGTAGCCCCATCCCTTTTGCCCCGTAATTGACTACTTTTGATACATCTCGGTGACCGTCGTGGCACGTGCCACGTGAAAAGTCAAGGGTGTTCAAACTGTTTTGCAAAAGTAGTGATTTTGAGAGGCTCATATCTTAGCAGCCGCTTGGGCGATTGTCTTGCGGCAATTTTTTGTAGGGTAGCTGCATCCCTTCTACCAAAGGTCGGATACTCTTGATCTATGTGAGTGACCCCCACTGCACGTGCAAAATGCAAATAAAGGTCAGGTCAAATTAGGTCAAATTTCTAATTGGATATTTTTGCATAAAATGGGTATCGATTCGATGCAGCTGGTCACGGGGAGTCTAATGGTGGTCTTTGTTTTGCGCCACGTGGTCTAGAATTGCTAAAAATTGAGTTAATGGAGGTATGGAGCAGCTTTTTGCTGCTCTATACCTCCATTAGCTACAAAAGCTGCTCCCCTATGGAGCAGCTTTTTCGCTATAACTTGGCCATAAAAGGAGGTAACGATCTACATAAGATCTACAATTTGTTATGTAGATCGAAGAAAGCAGGGAATATCATATATATATATATATATATATATATATATATATATATATATATATATATATATATATATATATATATTTCATTGAGACAAGTTTCATTAAACAGTACTGCACTTTTTGCTTTGCTAAGTTTCTTGTTGAGTTTTTGGATCTTGTTAAAGTTATGTTTGATCACAGTTGGTAAGGTGCTCAAAATATCAGTGACACTCATATAATCATATTTTATCTTTCGACGCGTTTCGATTGTATTTTCACAATCATTTTCAAGATCTACATTATATGTTGATATAACACTGCCTATAGCTATTTCAAGTTACAGAGTCGCTTGAGATATAGCACTATTTAAATTATCATAAAACATGTGACTGACAGTATTCGAAACCTTCGTTTTTGCTAAATGTCTCTCGCATAATAGTTACGCTAGGGATACAGTTCACGATACTTTGCACACAAATACTACTTCTTCACATTTGTATCACCACATGCAGTAAAGAAACGCCGCAAAGAGTTGATGTTTGGTTTGAGGCATCTTCAGTTGGCATTGCAAGTTGCAAGCTTTCAACATCAGACACCCCATAGGGCCAGTGATACGTGCGTTTGCCTTTGTACGTTGAGTGTGGGCTTCAGCCTGTTGATATGCAGTGCTTCGTGAATGAACAGGCGATAGTGATCGTTTGCACTGTCTAGTATGTCTGTGTTGAGTTTGAGAAGTTTGTGTGTTGGCTTTTGTTCGTGTTTTTGTAACCAGTGCTCGACTGGGCCTGTCCCTTCCTGTAAGTGCATGGTGAGGCGACGAGATAGTGTCGTCGTGGTGGCACCAATGTGGCATGTGTCTCGAGGCCTACAATCCTCGTGAGGGCAAGAAAATTTGTACACTACATTGGTGCGGTTGGATGGCTGGACTACGGAAGGGCTGTTCTTCATGACGAGCTGACGGGTTTTTCTATTCTGATAGTATATGTTGACTTGAACACGTTCGTCGTCTCTCTTGCATTTGATGTTCTTTTTCAAGATGTTTTTCAAAATCTTTTCATCGGTCTTGTATTCAGAGTTCATGTAGTTCTTGTAGTAGAGTTGGTGTATCTTCGGCTTTGGTTCTGGTTCTGTCGGTGTTTGTACGCGTTGTTTGTCGAGTTGTTTGCGTATTTCAAGGTCCACCTCGGTGTTCTTGTACCCGTTGTTGATGAGAACCTGTCTGATTCTGTTGAATTCGTTGTTCATGAGTTCATAGGTGGAGCTGGTCTTGATGGCCCTTTGTACGAATGCACGTAAGACGCTGTTTTTGAATTTTGAGGGGCACTCACTTCTCGCATTCAGTGTCCTTCCTGTGTTGGTAGCCTTTACGTGAACACTTGTAATATACCTATCGGGTGTCCTCTCTATGCAAACGTCAAGAAATGCTAGTTTGTTGTCGTGGTTTTCATACGTAAACTTTAACACTGAGTTTTTCTCAAGTTCACGAATGACTCCGGAGAGGTGGTCCTGGTCCTTGACCTCCAAGAAGATGTCGTCCACGTATCGGCAGTACGTCGTCGGTTTAACATCGGCATTCTCAAATGTTTTTTCTTCCACATGCGACATGTAGAACTCCGCAAATAGCGGGCCAAGTGGGGACCCCATTGCCACTCCGTCGGTTTGGATGTATAGTTTGCCATCTGGACTGCGGAAGGGGGACTCTTTGGTGCAACATGACAAAAGATTCTTCAAAATTTCTGGTGCTAGTGCGAGTTTGTCGAGACCGTTGCTTCTCTTCCGGTATACTTCTTCGAT